GATAGAGCCATGGCACCAAGCTAATGTACCGGACATGATAGAGCCATGGCACCAAGCTAATGTACCGGACATGATAGCGCCATGCCACCAAGCTAATGTACCGGACATGATAGCGCCATGCCACCAAGCTAATGTACCGGACATGATATATTTACGAACCCTGTATATCTGGGATACAGCTCTTTACGAACCCTGTATATCTGGAATACAGCTCTTTACTAACCCTGTATATCTGGGATAAAGCTCTTTACTAAGCCTGTAAATCTGGGATAAAGCTCTTTACTAACCCTGTAAATCTGGGATACGGCTCTTAACTAACCCTGTATATCTGGGATATGGCTCTTTACTAACCCTGTATATCTGGGATATAGCTAATTACTAACCCTGTATATCTGGGATATAGCTCTTTACTAACCCTGTATATCTGGGATATAGCTCTTTACTAACCCTGTATATCTGGGATATAGCTCTACTAACCCTGTATATCTGGGATATGGCTCTTTACTAACCCTGTATATCTGGGATATAGCTCTTTACTAACCCTGTATATCTGGGATACAGCTCTTTACTAACCCTGTATATCTGGGATATAGCTCCTTACTAACCCTGTATATCTGGGATAGAGCTCTTTATTAACCCTGTATATCTGGGATGTGGCTCTTTACTAACCATCTGTATATCTGGGATATAGCTCTTTACTAAGTATATCTGGGATACAGCTTTTACTAACCCTGTATATCTGGGATACAGCTATTTACTAACCAATACAGCTATTTACTAACCCTGTATATCTGGGATATAGCTATTTACTAACCCTGTATATCTGGGATATAGCTATTTACTAACCCTGTATATCTGGGATACAGCTCTTTACTAACCCTGTATATCTGGGGCTATTTACTAACCCTGTATATCTGGGATAGCTCTTTACTAACCCTGTATATCTGGGATATAGCTAATTACTAACCCTGTATATCTGGGATATAGCTATTTACTAACCCTGTATATCTGGGATACAGCTATTTACTAACCCTGTATATCTGGGATATAGCTATTTACTAACCCTGTATATCTGGTATATATCTAATTACTAACCCTGTATATCTGGGATACAGCTCTTTACTAACCCTGTATATTTGGGATAAAGCTCTTTACTAACCCTGTATATCTGGGATATAGCTATTTACTAACCCTGTATATCTGGGATACAGCTATTTACTAACCCTGTATATCTGGGATACAGCTATTTACTAACCCTGTATATCTGGGATACAGCTATTTACTAACCCTGTATATCTGGGATACAGCTATTTACTAACCCTGTATATCTGGGATACAGCTATTTGCTAACCCTGTATATCTGGGATATAGCTATTTGCTAACCCTGTATATCTGGGATATAGCTATTTGCTAACCCTGTATATCTGGGATATAGCTATTTACTAACCCTGTATATCTGGGATACAGCTATTTACTAACCCTGTATATCTGGGATACAGCTATTTACTAACCCTGTATATCTGGGATACAGCTATTTACTAACCCTGTATATCTGGGATACAGCTATTTACTAACCCTGTATATCTGGGATACAGCTATTTACTAACCCTGTATATCTGGGATACAGCTATTTACTAACCCTGTATATCTGGGATATAGCTATTTACTAACCCTGTATATCTGGTATATATCTAATTACTAACCCTGTATATCTGGGATACAGCTCTTTACTAACCCTGTATATCTGGGATACAGCTCTTTACTAACCCTGTATATTTGGGATAAAGCTCTTTACTAACCCTGTATATTTGGGATAAAGCTCTTTACTAACCCTGTATATCTGGGATATAGCTATTTGCTAACCCTGTATATCTGGGATACAGCTATTTACTAACCCTGTATATCTGGGATTCAGCTCTTTACTAACCCTGTATATCTGGGATACAGCTCTTTACTAACCCTGTATATCTGGGATATAGCTATTTGCTAACCCTGTATATCTGGGATATAGCTATTTGCTAACCCTGTATATCTGGGATATAGCTATTTGCTAACCCTGTATATCTGGGATATAGCTATTTGCTAACCCTGTATATCTGGGATATAGCTATTTACTAACCCTGTATATCTGGGATACAGCTATTTACTAACCCTGTATATCTGGCATACAGCTATTTACTAACCCTGTATATCTGGGATACAGCTATTTACTAACCCTGTATATCTGGGATACAGCTATTTACTAACCCTGTATATCTGGGATACAGCTATTTACTAACCCTGTATATCTGGGATATAGCTATATACTAACCCTGTATATCTGGGATATAGCTATTTGCTAACCCTGTATATCTGGGATATAGCTAATTACTAACCCTGTATATCTGGGATATAGCTAATTACTAACCCTGTATATCTGGGATATAGCTATTTACTAACCCTGTATATCTGGGATACAGCTATTTACTAACCCTGTATATCTGGGATATAGCTATTTGCTAACCCTGTATATCTGAGATATAGCTATTTGCTAACCCTGTATATCTGGGATATAGCTATATACTAACCCTGTATATCTGGGATATAGCTATATACTAACCCTGTATATCTGGGTTATAGCTATTTGCTAACCCTGTATATCTGGGATACAGCTATTTACTAACCCTGTATATCTTGGATATAGCTATTTACTAACCCTGTATATCTGGGATACAGCTCTTTACTAACCCTGTATATCTGGGATATAGCTCTGTACTAACCCTGTATATCTGGGATATAGCTATTTACTAACCCTGTATATCTGGGATACAGCTATTTACTAACCCTGTATATCTGGGATATAGCTATTTGCTAACCCTGTATATCTGGGATATAGCTAATTACTAACCCTGTATATCTGGGATACAGCTATTTACTAACCCTGTATATCTTGGATATAGCTATTTACTAACCCTGTATATCTGGGATACAGCTCTTTACTAACCCTGTATATCTGGGATATAGCTATTTACTAACCCTGTATATCTGGGATACAGCTATTTACTAACCCTGTATATCTGGGATATAGCCTAACTAACCCTGTATATCTGGGATACAGCTATTTACTAACCCTGTATATCTGGGATTCGGCTCTTTACTAACCCTGTATATCTGGGATTACAGCTCTTTACTAACCCTGTATATCTGGGATACAGCTCTTTACTAACCCTGTATATCTGGGATTCAGCTCTTTACTAACCCTGTATATCTGGGATACAGCTCTTTACTAACCCTGTATATCTGGGATATAGCTATTTACTAACCCTGTATATCTGGGATTCGGCTCTTTACTAACCCTGTATATCTGGGATTCGGCTCTTTACTAACCCTGTATATCTGGGGGAATACCCCGGCTCTTTACTAACCCTGTATATCTGTTTGTACGTTTGTGAATCACACTGATGAAGGGAGAATAGATAGGGTTAGTCACACGAAGAGCTCTTTAGGAAGAAAAAAAAGATGTTAAGTGTATTACTCAATGGAAAGAGTTAAAGTCCTTGTTGCGATCATTGCCATCCGAAGTCGCACCACTTGGAATCGATAATATGGAAATTACACATAGTAGCTGAAGATGGACAAGGTTTTTGTTGCCCAGGAGAACTTTTTTTTTTTTTTTTTTAAATCATTTTAAAGCGTAGAAATTCCTTACACCATAACCACTGCATATAATGCAATGACTATAGTGCTTAGAATAAGTATCATACTGAGCTTGAAATGTATAACGTGTCAGATTTGGGTCAAAGAGTTGGTTTCTGTGCAAATGTTTACTTTTATCCTATGCTGGGATTTTAGAGGGGTACCATGATTTAAAGTGGTCATGGTGCCTGGATTCTGCAGAAATGCATCTTCAAGGAGGAGGGGAGCCTCGAATCCGGCAGGGACCCAGTTAAAAAGGCAAACTGTTATTCAATGGTTTGCCACATTACCCGAGAATGGGCCAGCAGGCTGTAGTATCTGCGATGCTTGGAGTAACCCTTTTTATGACAGATTCATTAAACGATTCTGTTTGTATCAATAAATCAGTAAAAAATTTCTGTAGTGCTAATTTCTTTTATCAGCCACGGTGTTGGCAGAGTCGCGTATGTAAACCTTTGAGCAGCTTTTTGTCATTTTCTTGCTCGGAGATGGAGTGCCCATTTAAGGCTTTTGAAGCAGACGTTTTGAGAGTTCTGTGTTTGGTTGGTTGTCCTGCCCTGTTAGCGTGTTTAGAAATTCCTCACCACCACTCTGGTTTACAGGCTATCAGATCAGGCTCTGTGTGTGCCGGCTAGTGGGGATTAGATGGTAAATTGAGCAACTAGCCTCATCCTGTGCAAAGAGATTGTACCTTCTGATCCACACACAAACAGACTTCAAAGCTTCCTATAGTGACAGACAGAACTATGTGTTATTACACAACCATTAATAGCTAGCGCTGTTACTTTACAGCCATTAATAGTTAGCGCTGTGTGTTATTCTACAACCATTAATAGTTAGCACTATTACGCAGCCATTAATAGCTAGCCCTGTGTGTTATTACGCAGCCATTAATAGTTAGCGCTGTGTGTTATTCTACAGCCATTAATAGTTAGCACTGTTATTACGCAGCCATTAATAGCTAGCGATGTGTGTTATTATACAGCCATTAATAGTTAGCGCTGTGTGTTATTATACAGCCATTAATAGTTAACACTGTTATTATGCATCCATTAATAGCTAGCACTGTGTGTTATTATGCAACCATTAATAGCTAGCGCTGTGTGTAATTACGCAGCCATTAATAGCTAGCGCTGTGTGTTATTACGCAGCCATTAATAGCTAGCGCTGTGTGTTACTACGCAGCCATTAATAGCTAGCGCTGTGTGTTATTACGCAGCCATTAATAGCTAGCGATGTGTGTTATTATACAGCCATTAATAGTTAACACTGTTATTACGCAGCCATTAATAGCTAGCGCTGTGTGTTATTACGCAGCCATTAATAGCTAGCGCTGTGTGTTATTATACAGCCATTAATAGTTAACACTGTTATTACGCAGCCATTAATAGCTAGCGCTGTGTGTTATTTCACAGCCATTAATAGCTAGCGCTGTGTGTTATTACGCAGCCATTAATAGCTAGCGATGTGTGTTATTACGCAGCCATTAATAGCTAGCGCTGTGTTATTACGCAGCCATTAATAGCTAGCGCTGTGTGTTATTACGCAGCCATTAATAGCTAGCGCTGTGTGTTATTACGCAGCCATTAATAGCTAGCGCTGTGTGTTATTACGCAGCCATTAATAGCTAGAGCTGTGTGTTATTACGCAGCCATTAATAGCTAGCGCTGTGTGTTATTATACAGCCATTAATAGTTAGCGCTGTGTGTTATTATACAGCCATTAATAGTTAACACTGTTATTATGCATCCATTAATAGCTAGCACTGTGTGTTATTATGCAACCATTAATAGCTAGCGCTGTGTGTAATTACGCAGCCATTAATAGCTAGCGCTGTGTGTTATTATGCAGCCATTAATAGCTAGCGCTGTGTGTTATTACGCAGCCATTAATAGCTAGCGCTGTGTGTTGTTATACAGCCATTAATAGCTAGCGCTGTGTGTTATTATACAGCCATTAATAGTTAACACTGTTATTACGCAGCCATTAATAGCTAGCGCTGTGTGTTATTACGCAGCCATTAATAGCTAGCGCTGTGTGTAATTACGCAGCCATTAATAGCTAGCGCTGTGTGTTATTTTGCAGCCATTAATAGCTAGCGCTGTGTGTTATTACGCAGCCATTAATAGCTAGCGCTGTGTTATTACGCAGCCATTAATAGCTAGCGCTGTGTGTTATTATACAGCCATTAATAGCTAGCGCTGTGTGTTATTATACAGCCATTAATAGTTAACACTGTTATTACGCAGCCATTAATAGCTAGCGCTGTGTGTTATTACGCAGCCATTAATAGCTAGCGCTGTGTGTTATTACGCAGCCATTAATAGCTAGCGCTGTGTGTTATTATACAGTCATTAATAGTTAACACTGTTATTACGCAGCCATTAATAGCTAGCGCTGTGTGTTATTACGCAGCCATTAATAGCTAGCGCTGTGTGTTATTACGCAGCCATTAAGAGCTAGCGCTGTATGTTATTACGCAGCCATTAATAGCTAGTGCTGTGTTTTATTACGCAGCCATTAATAGCTAGCGTAAAATACAGCTTTTATAAAATGCATCTCAGATCTTTTGTCTGGCAGCTTTTCTCCTCCCTCTTCTCCTCCTCTTTGGCTGAATGCGCATGCGCGGCAGGTGTTGCGCGCGCATTCAACCAGTCCATAGGAAGGTATTCACAATGCTTTCCTATGGACACTGGCGTCATCTCACTGTGATTTTCACAGTGAGAAGCACGCAAGCGCCCTTAGCGGCTGTCAAGAGACAGCCACTGGAGGCTGGATTAACCCATTTGTAAACATAGCAGTTTCTCTGAAACTGCTATGTTTATAAAAAAAAAAAAAAAAGGGTTAACCCTAGCTGGACCTGGCACCCAGACTACTTCATTAAGCTGAAGTGGCCTGGGTGCCTATAGTGGTCCTTTAACAAACCAGGAAGTAACAGGACCTAATGTCTGACAGTCAGGGAGTGTGATAAGGTTGAAGCAAGACTTCTGGCACCAAAACAACTTCATTGAAATAAGTTGGTGAATAGTTTAACCCCTAAAGGTAAACAAAGCACAAGGGACCTCCTGGCATCATAACAAGCATAAGAATGTCATTCCAGTGAAGTTGTTATGGTGCCTGGAATGTTAATTTAATTTATGAAAGTGACAATTTCTATTGAAATCTACACTATTTGTAAACTGAGAAAAGAGGACTCCTGCATCCCACATAGAATATTTACAATACGGTGAATGACATCTTAACATAAAGATTCCTGTGTGGGAGAAGCTACCAACCCACGGTGAACCAGGGGCATCCTGCCAATTATACCACTGCTGTGTGATCACGTGGTGTTTGTGAGATGACTGGATCATAGCTGGTCTTTTCTAGAGTATTACAACAAAAAGCGACCCTTAATTAGAAATCTCCTGCTTCCACTTTTTTAACCATGCTGCAGCGTATGTGTACCCCCGGGGTCACCAACTTATCCTTATTATTGGTTCCTTTAATATCCCAGCCAAATAATTCTTTACAAAACAGTAAGTATCGTCACAGACTCCGTACAGGAACAGACCTCACCCCTAGACTGAGCACCGTGGAGTAGTCATGGCACACTTGCAGTTTTGTTAAATGACCAGGTTTAGATATCACTGTGCGCATTACCAGCTCGAGAGATGACTTTGCCCAACTCCAGTGTTATTGCATAAACCCCTTTGTTCCATAAAGGTGGGAGCAAGAATCCTACTTGCTGGGCTGTGTCCTGTTATTTCCTGTCCATCTAGCTACGTTGCTGGAGTTGCTGCTGTTATTCAGTATATTGTTCCTCACTGGCCTAACAAAATGTTCTCATGGAAAAAACATTGTATATTTAACTTTCAATGCACTGCTCCCTTTGTAATGTTTGTTTCTGCTCTGTGCTATTACCTTTATAATACTCAATTCAGCTCCCCTCACACCATCCTTACCTTATTATACCCCTTCAGTTCCGCCAACACCTTCTTTACCTTATAATACCCCTTCAGTTCCACCAACACCTTCTTTACCTTATAACAGCCATTCAGTTCCACCAACACCTTCTTTATCTTATAATAGCCCTACAGTTCAACCAACTCCTTCTTTGCCTTATAACAGCCCTTCAGTTCAACCAACTCCTTATTTACCTTATAATCGCTCTTCAGTTCAACCAACTCCTTCTTTGCCTTATAATACCCCTTCAGTTCAACCAACACCTTCTTTGCCTTATAACAGCCCTTCAGTTCAACCAACTCCTTCTTTGCCTTATAATAGCCCTTCAGTTCAACCAACACCGTCTTTACCTTATAAGAGGCCTTCAGTTCAACCAACTCCTTCTTTACCTTATAACAGCCCTTCAGTTCAACCAACACCTTCTTTACCTTATAATACCCCTTCAGTTCAACCAACACCTTCTTTATCTTATAATAGCCCTTCAGTTCAACCAACTCCTTATTTACCTTATAATAGCCCTTCAGTTCAACCAACTCCTTCTTTGCCTTATAATACCCCTTCAGTTCAACCAACACCTTCTTTGCCTTATAACAGCCCTTCAGTTCAACCAACTCCTTCTTTACCCTATAATACCCCTTCAGCTCCACCAACACCTTCTTTACCCTATAATACCCCTTCAGTTCAACCAACACCTTCTTTATCTTATAATAGCCCTTCAGTTCAACCAACACCTTCTTTACCCTATAATACACCTTCAGCTCCACCAACACCTTATTTACCCTATAATACCCCTTCTTGGTCCGCAGCTTACTTTATCCAGTCTGCCCCCATGTTTAAACTTCTAAAGAGCAAATGATGCCCTAAATGAAGTGTTCATCAAATGAGGTAGGAGGGAAAAGGAAGCAAAAGAAGAGGTGAGGAAGAGTAAAAAAAGAAAATGAAGAGAAATGGAAGTCTGTATCAGAAGAAAGGTTGGGCAGATGGCCCCCATAGTGACTGGGCAGCACCAGCACCACCTCCTACCCTGCGCGCATGGTGACATTGTGGCGAAACCGACCTCGCCACTGGGCATTGGAGAAGACTGATTGCCAGCCTCCTGCCATGTGACTATGGCCCCTGGGATGTATTGCCCTTTAAAGACATGATTTGGGCATAATGGATTTGTGTTGTGCTGCTGCTGGTTCTTTAAGAACCATCTGGGGACATACTGTGGAGTTACTGGGTGGCCACCATTTCATGTATCAGAGGCACATGGTGAGAACAATGGATGAAGCACATGGTGAAAACAATGGATGGCGGCCATTTTAACTCACAGACACTGTTTGGACTTTTCTACACGGTGCCATCTCGCCGGTATTTGGTGCACAAAGACATCGTGCAGTAGTTTTAAACTATAGAACAGGGGACACATTATACAGTAATTATTTTTCATATAGCCTGTATATGTTCTGCGGAATCTGCATTACACTGTATCTTCCAAACTACTGAACGGATCTGGGTGAATTTTGGATATGTGGTTCACCCAGATCCCCCGGTTCCGATGATATACATTTATGGGGTTATTGCATGTTTTGGGGTCCCTGTGATATGTTTTAGAATACTGTATTTCTCTGCCTGTGATAATTATATTAACCATTGTGTTCAGTAATCATATCACAGGCAGAGGGGAGGATTTTGTGTGGGAGTGTCTGTGTGTATGGTACGGATTGATTGGTTGTATTTCAAAACCCTGTGGGCAGTACTATGTTTGTGGATTGTGAATAAAAGAGGCTGTATGTGCCAGTACTGTCAGTTCTGCTTGACCTCAAAACGAAGTGTCGTCTCGTTATTGGGGGAATTGGATTGTATGCTGATTGCCAGGAGTGTAAGCTGGTTGTATGCTTTTCCTGTTCAGCTGCTTACAGCATTCGTATGCTTCTCCGGTTCGGTGGTTGTGGTTGGAGTCCTCAGTAAGCGCTAGGAGCATCCTTCAATGGAGGTACCCAGTCGGGGTGCCAGGTGATCCGTTACAGACATCTCCCAACGTTTGCTAAGAATTATGGGATGGAATACATTTGGGGCAGAGAGGCAGCGATTATCCGGGATGCTTTCTGGCTGAATTCAATGTTTAGTTTTATGGCAAGACCGGAAGCTTCATATTTGCTTATTTCTTTACTGAAACCTCCAGCAGCAAAGAAACAGTTAACAATAGATAAATAAAAAAATCAACCAATCAGAGAGCATGACAGTAGTATGTATTGTAATCAGGCTCCTTCCAACTCCCCTTTCTTTGTTGCTCGCCTCCCAGGGGATTCTATTCTAATTACAGTCTCCTACATTTTGACTTTTAGTCATATATAATATATTTGTGATCTTATATTTGATTATATTTGTTTTTCCTTATACACCTTCAACTTACTACCTATAAGTACTTGTTAAATTATTGTCCATCCACTTTTACTGTTTGGCAGTTCATACTGCTCCCCTATCTACTGATGTGCTCTGGTACTCTACATATTGTGCCTGCTCCCCCTCTGGAGCTCTACTGCTGCCGTGCTAGTCAACGGTGGATCTTACACTCATTCCCGACCTTACACCTGTAGCCATCACATTAGGCTGTCAGAAGTCCGACCAGCCCATTCGTTTGCGTCATTATAGCTGCAGTTATAATCCACTGTGTGCTGGGAGACAGGGGACCTCCTTACACCATAACCTTAAGGCTGCAGTTATAATACACTGTGTGCGGGAAGACAAGGGAACTCCTTACACCATAATCTTATAGCTTCAGTTATAATACACTGTGTGCTGGGAGACAGGGGACCTCCTTACACCATAACCTTAAGGCTGCAATTATAATACACTGTGTGCGGGAAGACAAGGGAACTCCTTACACCACAACCTTATAGCTGCAGTTAAAATACACTGTGTGCAGGGAGACAGGGAACTCCTTACACCACAACCTTATAGCTGCAGTTATAATACACTGTGGGCAGGGGACCTCCTTACACCAGGGCTTGACAAATCCCAGGCGCCATGGCGACCTGGAAATTTGTCCTGGCATCTGGGATTTGTGAGCCTGTTCAGCCTCCGAGGTCACCGGCTGCCTGAGAGCAGAGGCAGGCAGTCAGATCATGGAGGGCTGAGGCAGGCTGCTGACGGATGGAGGTGGCCGGCCAGGTGGCTGGCTCGCTCATTGACAATTAAGGGAGGGAGGCCGGATCACGGAGAGCTGTGAGAGGGAGGCAGGCGGCTGACAGAGGAAGTGGGGCGGCCGGCTCATTTATTGCTGAGGGAGGGGGGCGGCCAGCCTATGAATAGCTGAGGGGGTAGCTGGGTAAAGGATAGTGGGGGTGGGGGGTGGACACATAACATAATGCCGCGGCGAGGGAGCTGTAATCTCCCTTCTCACCTCCCTCGCGTGACGTGCAGTGATGCCGGGAGCCGGGCTCACTAAACAGAGCTCGAGAGGGAGGTGAGTAGGGAGATGACAGCAGCCCCACTGGACCCCAGGGAGAGCCTATCCACTCCAGCTCTCCAGAAGTAAGGAGGCTGGATGTATTTAAATAAGTAACTACTTGTGAGTAAGTGTGTCTGTATGTCTGAGTGTTTTTACTCACCTTTTTCCCCCACGCCTTGCTGATGACGCTGCAGCTGGCCCCACCTCCATGGCTGAGATGATCAATCTTGACGATCTCAGCCAATCCAATGCTTCCCCATAGGAAAGCATTGGAAGACTATTGCACATGCATGGCAAAATGCCACTGTGCTAATTTAACTTCTCATAGAGGTGCATTGAATCAATGCATCTCTATAGGGAACATTAACGCAGGTGCAGCACATTGTGAAGCACTGACCCAGGAAGCACCTCTAGAGGCCATCTGAGTGACTGTCGCTAGAGGTGTTACCAGGCAGCAATGTAAACACTGCCTTTTGTCTGAAAAGTCAATGTTTACATTGAAAAGCGTTCAGGGAGAGGATATAGACTTCAGAACAACTGCATTAAGCTGTAGTGGTTCTGGTAAATTAAATCCCAAGAATCCAATATAATTGAACTTGTCTTTGAAGAGATAATATGCACCTTTTCACAGCAAAATGTTATAAAAATTTTAAAGTTCAGGGAAAAAACCGTAATCCAATTATTCTGCAAATCTACGTACAGAAGAACCTCTTTAATTTAGGTTGTTTTCCAAGTATGAGTGACTATTCTATAAATCAGAGATAGTTTATCAGGATCTATGTATTTCTAATGGCATATAACACATTCATTCTGATACAGCTGTCAAACGAATCTGAAAAGTTATTATTCTAAATATGAAATCTTTATCTGGTTACAAATATTAGAATTATAACAACCAGCAAGAACGAGCCTTTACTTTTAAAATCAGGATTTCAATTCAGTCTTATAGACTAGAGCTTTAAATCAGATCCACCCTGCTGCGCTCTGTGCGTCGCCGCACTCTTGTTATTGCAGTACACACTCTGTATAGAAGATGGTAGAGATTTAAACATGTGGCTGTTTGTCCCTTAGCTCTGAGGCTGAATCAAATCTTTGTTTCCTTCTTTGTTGATCCGATAAGGGAGAGGAATTTTGGCTAATCTCCTTATTTACTTGTTTTATGCAATATTTTGGAAGGTAATTCAAGGACACTAATTCTAACACAACCCATTGAAGAGGTCCCGTCATTGGTCAATGAATGGTCAATGTGCTGCCTTGGTGGCTTCTTTTTTCAGATGTATTTCATGCCATGGAGGGGCCACTCTGCTTTTTCCTCCCACTCTTATTATTAAAATGTTTGAGACTCTTTGAGGGGCATGGCCAAATAAGTTTTTTAGGGACTGAGAAAAAGGAGGGCGTTACCCCATGGGCGTTGTAGGTTTTAAAAGTGATCTGCATCGTGTATCGGACGGAGTCTGATTTAACCTTGAAACTGTAATCCGGAGCCTGTGCCTTTTTTCCTGTCCTAATCCTGTCTTCATTCCTCATCCATCTCTCATCTTCTTTGTTTCCTGTCTTTGAAGCTCCCCATGGTATTCCATATTTCCCTAAGCAGTAGGTGTGTTTTATATAAATTTGATAACAATGTTACTTTCCTTTGATGATGCCACAGAGCTCTGATCTCGCTATTTACTCTGTGTCAGTCCTACATTGTACTCTCTGGCTTATAACTTGGCTTTCAGGGGTGTATCTGTCAAAATGTTGGCGTCTGAAAAGTGTTGTAAGGTTCTAAAAGTATTGAAATTTCTGACCGTAATTACTGACATTATTTGCTGGGTTGAAATTCCACTGAAATTAAAACCCAGTCAAAAGACGTCATAAGACAAAATATGGACCTCACTTTTGTCAAGCTTGTCAGCTGAGGGGAAAAGCCTCATTCTATAATGGATACCGTGAGATCCTGCATAGACTGCAGTGTTATACGCATGCAGAGTACAGAGAAGATGTCGATGTCTGGCAGTGCAAGCAAGGGACGGGTTCTGGTTATTTGTAAGAGCAGTATTGATGTATGATATGCATTCCCACTGTACGTATGACCATATGTTTGTTTCGTGCAGTTAGTAAGGATGCTATATATTGAAGAATCTGAATTGGACAGACTGAAGTGGGAAATCATAGTGAAAAAAGTCTCCAAATTAGCTATGCGTTCAGTTCAGGGATTTCAGTCTACAATTTGACGTTCAGTTTGACTATTTTAGCCTCAAATGTGATATTCCCATAGAATTTTCCCTTTAATGCATAATACTGCTGAAAGTGTGCTTACCAGGAGAAACGTGCAGAGCGAATGCAGGGAAGATGCAATAATCGCAAACATGGTAGGGCTATTGCCAACGTAGCATGGTAGCCTCCAAGAGCAGTGACTTGTTTCATGCTCTTTGTGA